CCGTCAGAGTCGCAATTGGCCGGCAATACCGACATGCTTGACATGTCGTTCTACTCGAGTCAAATTCATCAGTTCAACAGCCCAAGCCACCCGCACTACATCCGGGACAATGCCTTGTTGAACCTTGGACTTCCGGCTACTTTGGACAATCAACAGGATTTTTTAGGTGTTGAGGGGACAGAAAGTGCCCAGGATACCCAGAACCAAACCACGGCCGATGTGCCCTCGCAGACTTTGGCTGCTCAAATGAACAGCAATGACGTCGAGGTTTCTTCGGTTAGTTCTGAGAAGTCAAAGACTAGATCTTCCCGTCAACCTCTGATCAAAAAGCACAAACTGTCGTCGGCATCGTTGGACAAGGACTTCAAAAGGGCAAAACTTGGCTTCGTGAATGACACTGAAAATCTTGAATGGGTTAACGAGATCATGGCAGTTCCTGTCGCTAACGAGTTTCCTAAAGCATCGCATGATACTGGATTCATGGGTATGCCCTATCTCAATAGCGATCGTCTGCCTGATGAGGTTCTCACGCTTTTTAAACACAGACAGGATGATTTGGTCAAACAGAGAAGTCTTGTTAACACAGCCGATGCCTTAAATGAGGCTGGGAGACGTCCAAGCCAACCAGTGTCAAGGCAGTCTTCCAAAGTGCAATTCACGATTGGGGACGGCCACCAGCCAAGTTGTGTGACCAAGGAGCTCAGAAACAGAATCATTTTGATCAGCAACATGACTGACTCTCAATTCCCACCTTTGGAAGACTTGAACTCGTACATGTCCTTGTACGAAAGCGAGTTCAACATTTACTTCCCATTCATCCACATGCCCTCCTTGAGAAACCCAATGGTGGACAACTTTGAGAACATTCCATTGATTCTCTCAATGTGTGCCATTGGTGCCCTTTATTCCTATCATGACTCCAACACATTGCTTCTCTTTAATTTGTCAAAGTTCCATATCCATAACTTCTTTGAGAAAGAAGTGACGGCCGACAAACTCAATCAGAGAAAGGTTCCCTTGATGGCTCATCAGTCTCTCGTCCTACACATATTTATTTCAATGTTCCTCAATGAACCAAACATGTTGGAGATCACTACGAAACAGATGAACTCCATGGTCGGTTTGATCAGATCCACCAACTTTCACAGACCACTTGATCAATTCTTAGTTCCTCCTCCGGCAATTAAGAACGAGGCCGAACTTGGTATAATACAGAACAACTACGATTACTTCATCATGGCACAAACGAGGATCCGGACAATTCTTTGCTTTTACGAGCTAGAGGTTGTGCGCTCATGTCTTTTGGGCTCGTCCATGCCGATGAGTGGTTCAGAGATCTTGAGTGGAACTCCTTGTCTTGATGAAAAGCTTTATACCGCTGACAACTCTCGTGATTGGTACTATCAGTACAGAAAATCTGAGAACAAGGATCTTGTGAAAATAACCAACAACGACAGCCTCGGTGAACTCTTCGAACAGCTCAAGAACCACTGCCCTCTTGACCTGAATTTGCCATTCAATACGTTATTGGTGCTTTTGATGTACATTCATGAAACAATCTCGATGGAGTGGAAGAAGTATGAAGGCAAATTCAGTCTGTTCAAGTGGAGAACTCAAAGCAAACCCATGCTTGAGGGTCTCATCAGTTCCTGGGAGGTACTTTTCGCTAAAAATGGTGGATTTTTCAAGGTGAACAAACACAATGCTCAGATCCTCAACACTCATAAGGATCTTCAAATGATCTTGCCACTTCTCCATCTTGCGAAGATGAGATTATGTGTCAATATAACGCCGGTGACAGAAAAGGTCCTTTACAAGGATTGGGGTCAGATGTCCACGCTTCTCAACGATTTCGAGAATGATGTCGAAGCTTTGAAGGCTGCCGCACAACATGCGATTGAAGTGTTGAAAATTTGGACGCATAACATCGAACTGATTAATGACTCGAAACAGGTGTCAGTTCGGACTCCAGTGTTTTTTGTCACTTGTATTTTTGCCGCTATCTTGGTTCTACAGAAAGCATTGCAAGCTATGGAAACAAGCGGAGCATTGAGTGTCCAAGATAGAGTGTTCTGGCTCGAGGTGGAAGCTCTTCTCACTGATGTGGAGACCACACTTTCGCCTAATGAGGATTCAAACTCGTACTCTGAGTTCTTGCGCAAGCTGTCACAAGGAGTTTTCGATTTTGTTTTGAGCCCCATGTTCAGGACAAACATCGAGAAAGTTAAGTCTCATGCCAACAAGAATGAGGATGCTTCTTTTGACAAGGCGATTGGGAAGTGCAAGCTATCCGTTCATGCGCTCGGGCTTGGTGTTCGTATATTAGCCGATGCACCTCTTTGGCCTTTGGCTATGGGATTTGCAGAGGCGTTTAAAAATGTGGCTATTCACATAAAGAAATAGCTGCTTCAATATTTATTTATTTATTTATTTATTTAATTGACGAATAGATGCTAGAATCTCCTCGCGCTTAGATCAAGAATGGCTGCAAAACGCACGTAGTGATTAGGTCACGGTGAGAACGATGAGGAGATATAATGAAAGTTGACTTTAGGCGAATTTAGGGTCAGTTTCAAAGGCCCCATGCTCAAAGTCCAATTTTGTTACCTATCTTCTTTATTATTGTCGCTTGTACCTACTCCCGATTTGGCTTAAGTATGCGCATCAAAAAAAGAGATGAGCATTATCACCACAACCTCACAGATCTCGATTAGATTATAGACATGACCGCAGACGAGCAGACAGGCCGTCAGCTTTACGAAAAGATAGGTAGCCCAAAGACTATCGTGGCTCCTATGGTCGACCATTCGGAGCTAGCATGGAGAATCCTCTCCAGAAGATACGGTGCCGATCTATGCTACACCCCGATGTTTCATGCTAGACTATTCGCAACAGACGAAAAATACAGAAATAAAATGTTTTGTGAGATGGATGGCGATGCGGAGAAGGATAGGCCTTTAATCGTGCAGTTCTGTGCAAATGATCCCGAGTACCTTCTTCAGGCTGCCCAACTTGTGGAGAACCAATGTGACGCGGTGGACCTTAACTTGGGATGCCCACAAGGCATTGCTCGTAAAGGAAACTACGGTGCTTTTCTAATGGATGACTGGGACTTGGTCTACAAGTTGATCAACAAACTTCACAAGAACCTCAAGTGCCCTGTGACCGCCAAGATCAGAGTGTACGATGATTGGAAGAAGAGTCTTGATTACGCAAAAATGGTGCTCTCAGCTGGTGCCCAGTTTATCACTATTCATGGCCGTACGAGGGATATGAAGGGCCAGAAGACTGGTTTGGCCAACTGGGACATTTTGCGCTATCTCAGAGACAACCTACCCCAAGACCAAGTGTTTTTCGCTAATGGTAATATCCTATACCCCGCAGACTTGAAGAGATGCACTGAGAAGGTGAACTGTGATGCTGTGATGTCTGCCGAGGGAAACTTGTACAATCCTGGCGTTTTCTGGACTAAGGATGACGATAAGGAGAAGCAGTTTCCACGAGTTGATAAGCTTTTGCGGGAGTACTTTGAAATTGTCAAAACATGTCCTGGAGAGGCCTCCCGAGTATGCATGAAGTCCCACTTCTTTAAGCTCATGTATGAGTTCCTCAATGTGCACAAAGAGTTGAGACCCACAATTGGTAAGACCAGCGTGAACGCTCCATTCGAAGAATGGGAAAAGATCGTGCAACAAGTTGAGGATATTGTAAAGAAGATTTACGAAAAAGAGGACATAGAAGAGTTGGACAATATCGTTGATGGCCCCACGGAATCCTGGGGTGGTCACTACAAGAAGGTGCCATATTGGAGATGCCAGCCATACTTCCGTACTGTGGACGGGAAAAAACAAAACATGAGAGACCTTGAAGTGGCAGCATTAAAGAGAAAGCCTGAAGGCGAGGAAAGCACGGAAGATAAGAAGAAGGCTAAGTTAGTTGCCGGTTAATTTGCACCCATCCATCACTCAAGGTCATTGCTAAGGACCGTTTCACATCATCCACTAAAACATACCTCTAGCTGATCGGAAATAAGCGAGATAAACCAGGCCCCATTCAACACTAATGACATGCATATTGATACTCCCCTCCTCATGGCCTGGAGGGTTCCACAGCCAGACCTGCACAAGTCGCAGGATGCTAACTCGTCAGTAGCATCTACTAGTTCTTTCCAATGTCTGTATCAGCGGTTCGAATTCCAGCCACTAAGACGGCCAAAAATGCCGTTATTTTCCTACATGGTCTTGGTGACACTGGCGAAGGATGGTCGTGGTTTCCTCAGGTGATCAGCCAGACCGGTATTCTCAAGTCGCAGGCTGAGACCAACTTCATCTTCCCTAATGCTCCAAGCATCCCAATTACTGTCAATGGAGGCATGAGAATGCCCGGATGGTTTGACATTTACGAGTTTGGTAACCCTAAGGCAAAGCAAGATGTCGACGGTTTCTTCAAGACATGCGACCTTCTAAAGTCCTTGATCAAGGAGCAGCACGAGAAGCACAACATCCCACTCTCTAAGATTGTAATCGGAGGCTTCTCTCAGGGTGCAGCTATCTCCATGGCCACACTTTCTCTTCTCGAGGAGAAGATCGGTGGTGCTGTGGCACTTTCCGGTTTCTGCCCTGTCTCTGACGCGTTGAAAAGCAAGATTCAGAATGCCAACTTCGAAACACCTGTTTTCCAGGGCCATGGTGATGTTGACCCTATCGTTCAGCACTCGTTTGGTGAGGATACCAGCAAGTTCTACAGAGAGGCTGGCTTTAAGGACTGGACTTTCAAGACCTATGGTGGAGTGGCACATAGTGCCAATGACGAGGAATTGGTCGACGTCATCAAGTTCCTCTCGCTGATTTTGGATAAATAAGAATAGACTTCCCTATTTTAGTATATCTTGATCTCTGACCAGCGTAACCTGCACGCGCGACACCGTATATTTGGACCATATTGTCCCGATTACTCCTTCTGTTCTCAACTCCAACAATTAGTGGCACTTATAAACCGTAATGGAAGCACTTCGGGCAATTCCCGGATTTGGGTCGAGAAACGTGGCTAAACTGGATCTTTCTTCAAAGGACAAGCGCTACCTTCTGAATGTCGAAAAGGCCTTGGCTACATTCGAGACTCTCCAAGAGTGGGCAGACTACATTGCCTTTCTTTCTCGATTACAGAAAGCATTGCAGATTGGCGATGACAACGTCGAGCCCCAGTCTGTCGATTGGATCCCTTTGAGTGATCAGGTTTCGAAGAAATTGGCACTTTGCCTTTCTCCAAGCCTACCCAATGGTGTTCATCAGAAGGCATTGAGCATCTATGAGTCTATCTTTACCGCTCTCACGAAAAACTCATTCGATGCTCAAATCAATGAATGGCTTCCAGGGTTTGTACCCATCATTTCATACGCCTCCATGCAATTGAAGCCTCAAGTGCTTGATATCTACAGGAAACACATCATTCAGAAACTCAACCAGAGCACAATCAAAGCCGTTGTCAAGCCTATCTTGTTATCCCTCCTTGCAGTACTCGATGATGAAAATTCTGAGGTTTACAAAGATGCTTTTGCCCTCATGGAGTCGTTCAAGGCAGCCATGAACGATAACTCGTTGTTCTGGCAAACACTCTTCCTTTGTATCACTAGCAGCCCCGAAAGAAGATTGGGTGCACTCAATTGGTGCAATACTCGTCTACCGTCCTTTAAACTGCTAAAGGACGAGTCTGGTCTGAAGCTTTCGGCTGAGGCAACAGCATGTTTAAGGCCAGAGCCGGGTCTTTTAGTTCGTGCATTTGCCGCAGCTATCGACACAAGAACAAGCTTCAATCTGGCCAATGACATCATAGTTATTCGTGGCTTTTTTGATCTCTTGTTGTCTCACCTTCCACTCTCAAGTGATGTCTTCCAGCATGAACTCGCTTCTGCCGATAAAGAGCTTTTGATCATGGCTTGTTGCACCGTTACTCTCAGAAAAGACATGAGTTTGAATCGTCGATTGTGGAACTGGCTCGTGGGGCCCGAATCTGTGGAGGACCTGGGCGACGGAGATGTGCATGTGAGATACTTTGCTGATAATGCATTGCCTATACTTTCAGAGGGTGTGCTTAAATTAGTTAACTCTAAGGATCATACCGAGAAGGTGAAGGGACTCAAGATTGCATTGTCGTTCATGTTGGACAGATGGGAGATCAGTCAATTGGTAGCACCCAGATTTTTCACCCTGATTTTGGAGTCCTGCTACCTTTCTGTGAAACAGAGCAGCCAAGGAAGTGACGAGATTCTCTCGAATACCAAACTTTTCTTTGATGCTGTCGAGGCGAGTTTCATTTGGGAATACATTATTTGCAGTTTGATCTTGAGCGAATCAGCAACAAACTACGAGATGCTATGCTTCTTGCTTAAAAACTTCGACTTCCATGATCAAGAGCTTGCCACGCATATTCCATTGGCAATGCTCTGCTTGCTTAAGAATTGCGAAATATCAAAGAAGTCTGTCGAAGCGCTTGATCTCCTTCTGAGCCTTGCCCAACCACGCTTATTTGCACCTGTGAAGAAAGTTGAGGGAAAAAGCGATGATCTGCTTTTGAGATCTGTGGAGAAGTACTACGAGAATCTTAATGAGAACGAAGCAAGCGCATTTCCAATAGAGGGTGCAGAGATGTCGTTCATGCTTCTTGATTCATTGAAAGATTGGTATGCGCAAAGTGTTACTCAAATCGACATAAATGACAGAGTCTCCTCGATTCTTTGCACCTTTCTTTTTACAATACCTACAGCGGACTCTAAGGAATTCCAATTTTCGGACAAGGTCATACTAGATACAGTTCTCAAGTTGGAGCCTTACAATTTTAGTCCAGACGAGATAAGTAACCAGAAAACCTTGAGTTTGGTGATGGGAGCTGTCAAATTTACTCGCTACCTCGTCAAAACGTCCAATACTTATCAAAGGAACAAGGTATTGAAGATCATTCTTTCCAATTTGTGGTACGCACTTATAAGTCCATATCCTGCCAATAATGAGGTTGAGGCCGTTAAAATCATATTCGATTTGGAACTCAGTTTCGACAGTCATGAGATAGAGGCAGGTTTGATAGAGATGCTTATTCGCACACCCAAAGAGACCAAAGCAAACGCATTTTACAAGCTTTGGATTCACTCTGCTGATCTCAGTACTGCTGAGTCTCTTTTGGCAGGTCCATTGCACCTTATTTTGGATGACCTTCTTGAATCTGACCCGGCAAGCGTAATGGCGGCTCAGAGACTTGTTCGCAATATTATAAGAGATGGTAGTGCTGGCCGCTTTTTGAAGCTTCTCACGAATACACTCCTTTCGTTCGATTTCATTAGTGATGAGACTCATGAGGTTAATTTGCACGATGACATCAAGCTTTTCACTTACAACATTCGAACCATACACAAAGTCATACACAGTAATGAAAAACTACTCAAAGAGGCTTTCAACCATGAATTTATTGCGTCGGAGACAACAGAAATTTTTGCCGCGTTGAAAGCAAACGGCTGGGAGGTTTCTAACTACAAGTCTTTGGTTTGCGCTATTCTTCACAAGTTCTTGAACTTAAAATTGAGTCCCGATCTTCTCAAAGAAAAAGCCTCTCTAGAGCATTACGCCTTTGGTATCACAGCGGCACTTGAGCTTTTTGCTGACCTTGTTATTGGCTCGGAGGCCGATTTCGAAGTTCATTTCCTCAAGTTGGTTCAGTACTGCTTAGGATATCTTCAAGAAATTGAGAACGTGCCATTTGAACTAGAAATCATTGAGGCCGAATATATCAACATCATTATGCATTTCTTGGATTTGACCAAGTCAATGAACGTCGACTTGAGTTTATTGCATACAGCATCTGATTCAAAGGATCCGATACTTGTGTCATTCATTATTGAAGGTATCAAAAAATGCCTGTCCTCCATCTTGCTAGAGAAATGGTTTGCATTGCTCACCCGTGCTCTTTACTCTTTCAACGAATCCGTCTTTAGCGTTATTTTGACATTGAATGACGGTATCAACACAAAGATCAGAGAATACCTTGAGTACGTCAAGGCTTTCCAGAAAGCAAACGATTTCACCAATCTTGAATCATCCTTCTCAATTTTACTTTCAGGTCTCGAAGATATGCTTTCTATTAGCCATTCATATCTTTTAACATCTAGCCTTAGGTCTAATGCGAAGGTCGCTGCAGCGAATGGAGAGTCAGGATTTCTTGGTAACATGATACTGGGTGTCTTTCTGATTGAGTCTCCAGATTCCCGAACAGAGGAGCAAAACAAAATACATTCGATGATAATCTCAATTCAGGATTCCTCGAAGTTGGCGTTCGAAATTTGGGACTGGGGAGAGAAGGGAACTCAAATTGTGACGTCTGACTTTGCATCCGCCAAATCTGCCGTTCATTTGAGCAACAAGTTGAGATTTCGCTCACGCAAGCTCCTAGAAGCTTTGATGGAGTTAGAGCGACAAGAGGTTATCGAGACTATCATCGAAACATCAAGCGAAGCACAAAATAAGATCAAGCTTCTTCATGTGCTCGATAATGGCAGACCCCAAATAACCCTCCCACACATCATCAATTCTATTGTCACAAGATGCTATCCTGGATTATTGGAGGAAACAAAGAAGTCATCTATGAACTCCATTGTAACATCCAAACAACTTACAGAATTTTTAGTACCATACTTGGAGTCAGTTGATAGTGACATAATTGAGGAGGTCTGGGTCAAACTAGTTCTGTTTTTCAAAGATGTCTTGGCTCACGCCTACCATTTCAAGGATCTGCTTTCCGACTTTTTACGCTGCCTTGCGGTGTTAGCCACCAAGACCAGTATTAGGAAGTCTAATGAGAGGAAGGGATACGGTCGAGAGCTTGCGGACCTATTCGTTAGGATGATTAACGCTGCTTGTACCATTGGGCAATCCGGAGAAGCTGAAGGTCAGAACACAGGAGCTAACGAGCTGCTACTCAAAACTTTGACGAAACTTATCGAATCTGTTGACGAAGTTATACAAGATTCGGACAAAACTACTGCAGTGGTGAATACGATTGTCAATGTCGCATTAGCACCGGAACTTAGAAGTAAACTGAAGAGTTCCGAGCAAGCGCTTCGCTTGATGGGTTTAATAGGAACTGTTCATGCTACGAAGATCTGGAAAGTTACCGTGAGTGACTGCTTTGCGGATAATGCATTCTTCACGAACGAAAATTACCTAGCTGAAGATTGGAAGCACCTCATCGGTGTCTGGGTCATGAACGAGAAAGATGCAATGAGCGATCTCATTGCAAGAGTTTCTCCACCAACTAAGAGCACCGCTGCAAACATTTTTGTTTGGAGCGAGAAGTCTGAAATTGAAGACAAGATCTTTATTTTGAAGCGGATCGCTTACTTGATAATGGCTCTGCCCAAGGACCAATTTTCTAATCTATTAGACGTCCTCATTACCAAGTTATTCGAGGTCATTAATGGTTCGTGCCCTCCTCTTTTCAAGTCAGAGGCATTCTTATTGTTGAGGGCTGTGGCACTTCAGTTCGACCAAATGCATCTCGTCTCTTTATGGGAGCCTACTACACAAGCACTCGTGGAAGTTTTGAGATCCACCTTGTCAAAAACCCAAAAGGACTTGAGCCAAATGAGTGAGGAAGAGGTACAGCTTGTCCTCAGTACCTGTAAGCTACTTGATCAGTTGCTCCTATTCGGTTTTGATGAGTTCACTTTGAAGGAATGGATTTTTGTGGAGACGAACCCAGCGGTGGTAACAGACACTACTAAGCACGATTCAACTGCCTTAGTTGACTTGCTTGCTAAGTTAACAGAGAACTTTTCTGCCAAGAGCTCTCCTGTGCAAGTGACACACCCAACGCCTGGTATACCAAACAGACCCACACTTTATGGGGTGCAGAAGATTGAAAATATTGGAAGTCTCAGAAGATTTTTTGACCTGTTCAGCTACATTCACTATGAGCGTACCTACAGTTTAGCTGAAGCAGATCAAGAGGCCACTTCGAGAGATATACTCAAGGACTTGATCGCGCATACTTAATCTAAGCGGTTTAAAATGATGGTGTATGTATATAGCAGGATCGCGTCTCTGGATGGTGTTTCAGACCGCGCATACTAAAATACATAGTACGTTGATAACCACCGTTTGTTCATGAACACATACAGTCGAACGGGTATTCATAACAGTATTTCTTATGACTCAAATGAAACTTCAATAAAAAATATGCAACAGCTTTCGCCATCAGATTCAGAGAATAGCGATATAGAGTTCGATGATACCCAGCTTCAAACTCCGCAAGCTCTACGGGAGTCCTCGAGAAGCATACTCGAACGAGCCACAACGACTGAAATTCCATTGAGTGACCGTCCGTCTCAAATCAAGAAGAAGACTCCTACAAAATTTGCCGACTTTACTGATCATGAAGTTATAGTAAACGAGAAGCTCATCAGTGATGATAACCAGTTCACTCCACACGCATTAAGTGGAAGTCCCGGCAGGATTCCGAGACTTCAATGGAGTAATGAGAAGATCAAAGCTGCTGCTGATATTCTGCAAAACAAGAAAGATCTATCCGACGATGAGTTTGATCCTTCCGAAGATGACGAACCCAGCAACAAGAAGCCTAATGCAGCTACAGAGGACGAGCCCCCAATCATCAGCGAATCTTTAAAGTCGACTTTGGCACGCTCACCTCGAAAAGGCTCACCATTGAGGAACGAAATTCGTCCATCCTCAAGCAGTCCATCAGATACGCATGGTGACAATAGCGGCGAGCCAAAGAAGATTGACCAGATGCTTCGACTGATGAACTCCGACTTGAATAGACTCAGGAGCATAGATCTGGATGATGCAATTGATGAAGAGCAAGATCATGTGGAGTACGACGAACAATCAGAATCATCAGATGACAATGAAGAAGCTATGAGAAAACTTGACACACTTCTTCCTAGCAGGAGCTCACGAGCGGGAAATCTGTCGCCTTTACGTGCTACGCTGTTCAGTATCGATTCCATCGAAAATCAGGGGAACCGTACCGCACCCAGTCTTACAGCCCCTGAAACAGTGGAGGCGAACGCAATTTGGGGAGACCGCAGTCCGACGAGAAACGGTAAGCTTGTTGGAGCGAAAAGAAAACGCATGAATGCCAAATCGCTTCGACTGAAAGGAGGGAAGAATTCAATTGTCAAACCACCGAAAAAAGAATATGCTGCCTGGCCAGCAGAGAAATGGACCAAGCTTACGAGATTAATTGAACTGAGCATCCCGAACGAAGTCATAGTCAACAGTAACATCGTCGTGCGTGAGCTAGGGTGCAACAACAAGGCAGAGTTGGCCAAAAGAGTCGAGTTTCTTGAGAACTACTTGAATGAGGACTCTTAATGCGTGTAATATATGTATAATTAAAATACCTTCGAAAGGACACTGTCCAAATTATCGCTATTCTTAGCTTTTTTGAACTGAGGCTTTGCATCGTGCCTTGTACTCGTGATGTCCCTCTGATCAAACTCTCTATGAAATGATTCTTTATCTGCCTGTTCGCCTTCGGCTTTCCTCTTACGCTGCTCACGTTTCGAGCGTTCAACGTTATTGACGAAAGTCTTGTTGAGTTTTTGCTGCTGAGAAATTTCCATGGACAACTTAGCTTGTCTGATTTCATTCTCCTTTGCAATTTGTTGGGTCAAGTCAAACCATTTAAAGCCTGACAAGTACTTTATGTTCATGATGTCGTCGTGGTAGTATGATGACTTCTTACCACCCAAAATGTTACCGTTCATTGTTTCAGCACACAACTTGGCCTCCTTCTTATTGACAAATTCCACCCATCCTTCTGTGTACTTCTTCTTCTTGTTTCCCCCATACTTCACTCTCTTCTTGTAGGAAGCTTCATCCTCCGGTTTCAAGAAGATTCTATCTAGCTTTCCAAACCTCGACAAAACAGACCTCAACTTGACGGGCTTCATATATGGGGGTATACTAGAAAGATAGCAAACGCCGGTTTTCTTGATCTTTTTCTGCTCTTTCGCAAGCTGCTCAGGTGTGAGCCTTTTGAGCTTCTTCGACCTCTTCTTCTGTTCTGATACCATGCTCGAGGTTTCATCCTTCTTTTGCAGTCGTGGCAGTTCCTCATCCGAGTCTTCATCTTCTTCAGCCAGCTCTTCGTTTTCCTCGTTTTCGAAGTTTTTACTCAGAGACTTTCCCCTTGTCTGAAACACTCTTTCCTCTTCTTCATCGGATTCAAAATCAGCCTCATCGTCGAGCGAACTCTTTATCAGATATTTGCTCGCAGGAGCATCGCTGTATTCCAGATCACTTTCAGAATCAGCCGTAGGGAGAAAATCCTTCGTTGTCTTGCCTTTCGCCATGGATGTAAGACCTGGTAGTGAGATGAGCATCGAGTGCTTCCTGTAACCTAGATATACAGTACTCCGCTGGTACCCCAGGTTGATGGAAACATTTTAGGGCAAATTTTTTAAAAATATCATGATTGATTAGGGCAAAATAATTTGAGCGAAAACAGCTGTATTTTTGAATATAAAATGACTGAATTTGAAGTCTACTAGAGGGGACAATACAATGCAGTTGCGTATATGTTACCGCATCGTCCAGGTATGCCCATTACACCAGACAACAGGAACCGACACCATAAACAATTTCAACATCTTACTCAGAAATTGATCAATGTTTCTCAATCGGTAACTGCAATGCTTTCATTCGGGGGATATATTACCTATGCGTTCAGCACACAAGACACTACAAACTACAAGTAGCAATTGTTTCATGACGTAAATTAAATTAAGTTAAAGTATGTCAACGATCTGCTTATTTCTTGGAAGCAGAGTCAGCGGCGTTCTGAGCACCCTCGGTGGCACCCTGAACAACGTTGGAAACGTACTCGGCAGCCTCGGAAGCCTTCTCCTTAGCGGTCTCGTAGTACTCCTGAGCAGTCTCAGAAAGAGAGCCAGACTGCTGGTTGACCTCCTTCTTGGCATCCTCAGAACCCTGGTGAGCGTGGTCAGCAACAGACTGACCGAAAGACTTCTGGGAGTCTGGGACGTTCTTGCCAGCAAACTCGTCAACCTTGTCGGTAACAGCCTCCTTACCCTTCTCAAGGTAAGACTTCTCAGAGTCAGGCTTAACGGTCTCGGAGACCTTGTCAGTGAATGGTTTTCTTCCGGCGTCAGACATTGTGATTTATTGTAGGTTGATGTTTGACAATGGGCGGGAGAAGTCCTCTTTATATAGCAGGGAAACTACGCCACATGACAAAATATGTGACCGGCGGCAAAGCACCCATGGGCGTCTCTCATAAGAAAGTAAGGCAACTAACGGAAGCGGTGCTCATACTGTGGGTGCAAAAACGCACCTTCTCGCATTGACGCATGCGCTACTTAGGCGGGGGCGCCGCTAGAGAGCAACCAAGACATCCCAATTTGCTGGACTCCTGTAGAGAAAAACTTCTCAAGAGCAAAGCAGGTGTGAAAAAGCAAAAGAAATGAGGGATTGGGTCGAGTGACCTTGCGTCAAAAGGAGTACGATCAGATATGAAGGCAGGTATGTGGCTGGTGTCTCATATCTCTAGTGAGACTAGGGAGCAACTAAACTAACGCAGTACTGTATGGCCCCGAGGAAAAAGGGTGCTTCTGGCATTGGAGGCAACTTTCGTACGTAGCCATACAGCTAACCGTGGTTACGTGTCTATAGAATTTTCTAGTACTTGTGGCTGAGTACCAGCATGTTTTTCGTTGTTTGCGTGGACACGGCTGCAAATGGTGAGGCTCGGTACGTGTTTGTGAGGAGTTCCGGATTATTTTTGGAAGATTAGGCTTTTTGGGACACCAGCGTGGTTCATTGGCATGGTGGGGGCTTCTGCGGCGAACAAAGGCGGCAATTTACTCGCCACGAAGAATTCTTCGATATGCTGGTCAAATCACTCTATAACTCTCCTCGCAGTAGCTGAGATGGTCCGACCAAGCTCACAGATCGTTTTGTGATACACTTGTTATCGTACATTCTGAGAGAGGGCTTCGTAATTGGCAAACGGCCTTTTTCGATACTATGTCGATGCAAATCTAAAAATTTAGCCAACTTTAAAACATGTCTTACTCTTAAGCCTGCCCCAGGTAGCTACTTCTGCAGGAGAGTACCCATGTATACGCTGGGAGCATGTCACCGAGGGACTTAAAACTCGTCAAAATGCAAAAATGAGAGCATTCCGTATACATTTTCATTTTATCGATCCCCGTTATCTTCATCACCGAATGACGTTCCATCATGAGCTGGTGCCTGAGTCGATGCCCATCGAGTTCTGCAGATGCGCATCGAGAAACATCAACACTTGAATATTCATGGCTAGGGGAGGTGCCGTGACCAAGGCTTTGGACCAGAAGGTCTATAATCTAATATTCAAACTTCTTGATGACAGGAGCGCAGCGAATAAGGAGAAAAGTGGTGGTGATGAGTCTAAGTGGTTTCTTGACATCGCTCTAGCTAGAGACCTCAGAAGCGCAGAAGTCATCGATTTTTTGCTTAAACAGGACTTGCTGTTGCAGAGACTCAAGAGATCCATTCTTGAAGAGTCTGTGGATGTTATATTGAAGGAGCTTAGGAAGGATGAGGAGGTGGAGCTTGCAGAAGCCATTAAACTCAAGGATGAGTACGAGCTTCAAAATGCAGCTCAGATAGATAGCGACTTCGAAAACGCCGACCCCAACAATCTCATGACGGTGAAGGATTCAAATGAGCTCAACAAATCGGTGGTGTCGATGTGGAATAAAGACAGCGAGAAGGTTGAAAGCGACGCTGATGAAAAGAAGACCAAGAAGAGAGGCCGAGACTCGGCAAAACCAGCTTCCAAGCAGAAGAGAAGCAAGATCGACCACACCCCACCCACAACCACGCTACTGTCTCTAGGAGGTCTTTCTGCTGTGACGACACAACTCATGGAGCTTGTCGGGCTACCCATTTTGCATCCAGAAATCTACCAATCCACCGGCGTGGACCATCCACGGGGAATTCTTTTGTACGGCCCACCTGGATGTGGTAAAACTACTATCGCCAATGCTTTGGCTGGTGAATTGAAGGTGCCATTCATCAACTTTTCAGCACCTTCTGTTGTTTCCGGTATGTCTGGTGAGTCCGAGAAAAAGCTTCGAGAGATCTTCGAGGAGGCTCGTTCCGTGGCTCCCTGTTTGATCTTCATTGACGAAATTGATGCAATCACCCCAAAGAGGGACGGTGGTGCTCAAAGGGAAATGGAACGTCGTATCGTTGCCCAGCTTCTTACATTGATGGACGAGCTCACATTGGAAAACACCGACGGTAAGCCAGTCATCGTCATGGGAGCCACCAACAGACCTGACTCTCTTGATCTGGCTTTGCGTAGAGCTGGTCGTTTCGATAGAGAGATTTGCCTTAACGTTCCTGACGAAGAGCAGAGATGCGCCATTCTCAAGACAATGACATCGAACCTCAAACTCGATGCTTCCAACTTCAACTATCGTGAACTCGCAAAGCTCACCCCGGGATTTGTAGGTGCAGACTTGAAGAGTTTGGTTACTGCTGCTGGAGTCGTTGCCATCAAGCGTATCTTTGAGAGTCTCAGTGAAATCGATGAGGAGCTGTCATCAAAGAACGATGCAGTTGACATGGACGTGGACAGCAACAATAATATCAAACAAGTGGTTCCGAATGCTCTTGCGAATATGAAGTTTGACAAAAAGTCTGAGGAACAACAGCTCAGTACGATCCAGAGGTTCCTCATAAAGCATCCAGATCCACTCTCCGAGGAGCAGTTGGCTCCCCTTAGCATATCCTTCTCTGACTTTAAAGAAGCATTGCCGAACATTCAACCTACAGCAAAGCGTGAAGGTTTTGCAACCATTCCAGATGTCACTTGGAAGAATGTGGGCGCTCTCAGCAACATCCGTATGGAGCTCCACATGTGCATTGTTCAGCCTATCAAGAAGCCTGAACTTTATCAAAAGGTTGGTATCAGTGCCCCTGCTGGTGTTCTTATGTGGGGTCCACCTGGATGTGGTAAGACATTGTTAGCCAAAGCTGTGGCCAATGAGTCCAGGGCTAACTTCATCTCTGTCAAGGGTCCGGAACTTCTTAACAAGTATGTCGGTGAGTCTGAACGTGCTGTGAGACAGGTGTTCCAACGTGCTCGTGCTTCTGTTCCATGCATCATCTTCTTTGACGAGCTCGATGCTCTTGTGCCCAGAAGAAATTCCACCCTATCTGAATCCAGCTCCAGGGTTGTGAATACGCTCTTGACAGAGCTTGATGGTCTTAATGACAGAAAAGGCATCTTCGTCGTTGGCGCTACGAACAGACCAGACATGATTGACCCTGCCATGTTGAGACCTGGCCGTCTAGACAAGACACTTTACATCGAATTACCGACCGCCGAAGAACGTTTGGATATTCTTAAAACACTTGTTTCGGCAAACACCACGCCGTTGGGTCCAAACGTGGACTTGCATGCCATTGCCAACGACTCAAGGTGCCGCAATTTCTCGGGTGCCGATTTATCGCTGTTGGTGAGAGAAGCAGGTGTATTCGCTCTTAAGAAGAAGTTCTTCCACGGCCAGAAAATTCTGGAATTGGATGAATCAGGATACTACGAGGAAGACAAGAACGATAACGATATCGTTGTCACCAAGAGTGACTTCGATGGTGCCCTTCTGAGTATCAAACCCAGTGTCACCGACAAGGACAGGGCAAAGTATGAGAGATTGAGCCAACGTATGGGCTGGGGCGTGATCCAAGAAGAGGAAAAGAAGGAAGACGAAGAGAAAAATTAGCATAGACCTATAATGTACAACTATCAACTGGATATCTTGACTGCGCGCTAGTAAACTTTTGCACCCACTAACACCATGCTCTCATTATCAGCCTTAAGCAGGCGTTTACCAACAGCGTTTCAACAAATCAAACAGCTAAGTTCATATGCTGTCAATGATGGCGCACACCTTGGTGACGCTCTAGCTACTAGTGGAATCGACACGGTGCAATTGGCATACGATAAGCATGAACCTCCGAAGAAGCCTGAAGTTGAAAAATCCCCATTGATATTCTTGCACGGGCTTTTTGGATCCAAAACAAACACAAGAACGGTTGCTAAAACCCTTGCCCAGCGTCTATCCCGTGATGTCTACTGCCTTGATCTCAGAAACTTTGGTCAGTCTCCACATTCAACTCGCCTTGACTACCCATCGTTGGCTGCTGATGTCGAGAGATTCATCGACGAGGCGGAACTACCTAGGAAACCCATCTTGGTTGGTCACTCCATGGGCGCTAAAGCCATCATGGCTGTAGCCTTGAGAAGACCAGATATTCCTGAAATGATCGTTTCGGTGGATAATGCTCCAGTATTCATACCCAGCACTTCTGGTGGTAAATTCAGCAAGTACGTCAAGCACCTCAGACAGGCTCTAGAAGTGGATCAATACACCAGCATCAAAGACGTGGACGCCGAGTTGGCCAAGGTCGAGCCCGTTAAAGAGATCAGACAGTTCCTTTTGACCAATGTAGATAGAGGTCAGAAGGATGATATCTGCAAGTCTCGTATACCTCTTGATATCATCGACAAAGCAATTGTGAGCGGAAACATAGCGCTGTGGCCTTATGATCCTACACTAGCTCGCTGGAGCAGAGGTCCAGCTCTCTTCATCAGAGGAACAGAGTCAAAGTATGTCCCAGACGATGTTTTCCAGGACATTGGTCAGTACTTCCCCAACTTCGAGGTCAGAGATGTCAAGGCCGGACACTGGTTGATCAGTGAGAACCCGAAGGAATTCATGAACGTCTTGTGTGAATTCATCGAGAGAAACGAGGACGAATAGAGTTTATAGACCTAATCAACTATATCATTTATTTATCACTGACCTTGGCCCCCTCGGTAACGTCATTGTAGACATCAAAACGTCTTTGGAAATGAACAGGAATGCTTTCTCTGGCCTTGGGCAACAACTCCTTGTCCAATTCAGCATAAAGGATCTCCTCACCTTCTCCAGCCTCCGCAACAATATTTCCGGAAGGATCGACCACCAAAGAGTGACCGTAAGCTTGATAGCCATCTCCACCTACATCTCTAGCTGGGCTGCACAAAATAGCGAACATTTCGTTATCGACCGCTCTAGCTCTAGCAAGTAAATGCCAGTGCAAGGGACCAGTCGTGGTGTTGAACGCTCCAGGGTAGAACATGGCAAAAGCATTGTTAGGCTTTCTGGAAGCGATAATGGCCAACTCCGGGAAGCGAATATCGTAGCAAATGCCCAATCCAACATTACCAAAGTTTCCAAGCTTGAACACAGTGCCCTTGTCACCCCCAGTTAAAGTCACACTTTCCTTGAACGTGATTCCGCCGGGGATATCAATGTCAAACAAGTGAGTTTTGCGGTGCTTGGCAATGATGTTTCCCTCGGGATCAAAAGTCAATGAGGTGTTGTAGACGTTGTTATCGGAGTCGTCAAGTTCAGGGATGGATCCTCCAACAATGTAGAGACCATGCTGCTTGGCCAATTTCGAGAGCAAACCGGTGGTCTCTCCGTTTGGAATGTTCTCGGCATATTCTCTGAATTTGTCAACAGCGTATGGAGAATTGAAGCACTCAGGTAACATTACGAGATCAAGCTTTCCAGTAGCCTGAGCCACAGCATTGTCAATGAAGGTGGTGACTTTTTGCAAGTTGGCAGCCTTCTGAGCTCCAGCCTTTATTTGAATAAGCGCAACTTTAAGATTTTGAGAGAGTGGCGCCTTAATTGAGGACATTGTGAACAAATTGAGTGAGAAGGGCGGAATTGGATAGAGTCTGGGGTTATCGCGACAATCGACGAGAGGTCCACAGTCCGAGAGATAGGTGTTCCGTACAAAATTTTTGAGCACATTTTCAGAATTTCTCATTTTGTGTCATAAAGTACGATTGGGTAACAAAGTCGGTTATCAGGCTACGATAGGCAGATTCTACAGATTGGAGAATTCACCAGTCCACTCACCTAAGTACATGCAATCTTCCGTATACTATTTACAACATAATTATCATCGTAGCGGCCTCCAGGAAGCCTCCGTCATAACTCTATACCTCAACCTTCAATTCTTCTGAACTACCCAGCTTGAGTCCATCATCAAAGTTACTATCTCTTTTCTGGTCACCAAATGACTGAAGAATCAAAAAGGTAACCGACAAAATGACTCCCAAACCTGCAAGCCCCATGCCAATGTAAAATGCATGTCTGTAGCCTTTGACTGTTGTCTCATAACCAGGAGTCAAATCCTTTGTGGTGTAATACTCAACAGTACCAGCTATACCGAGCCCAATTGAAATGGAGTAATTGACAAAGGTGCTTACTAACGAGCCAGCAAGACCTTGCTGATGTCTGGGAAGCACACTGGACAAAATCATTGTACCAGCCGGGAAACTCATGTCCATTCCGAAACTCTGAACTAGAATCGAGAAGAACTTTTGACCCCAATATATCTGGTGTTCCGCTCTAGTACCCATAAGCACAATACCCACGAAGAAAGCTAACAATGCCACCACCATAACGACTGACAGCGACGACTTTCGGAGAAGGAAAACAGTCAAGCCGGCGGCGCACAAACCACAGAAGGGAGCTGGAATAAACTGAACAGCGCTTAAAATCGGGTGTAAGTTGTCAACGGTCTCTGCCCAACGGAAGCTGTAGTACAACCAGATTCCAAAGCAAGACCAGCCGCAGGCAATACAGCCTAACACGAAACCGGTTTCGCCCTTGAGGCAAGATGTGGGGAGCAACGGATTGGCGGCATACTTGGATGCAACACAGAAAGCTCCCATGAAGAGGAAACCAACTATGAGTAGGACATAGACGTAAGGTACATCCCAGCCCACATTTGGACCTTGATTCCAAGCAAAGTTGATAAGAACCAAGCCGGAAACTCCCGTGAACGAGCCCCACCAATCGAAAGCTCCTTGAGATTTGCTGCCAATGTTCTTCGGAATGATGAAGTACAGTGCAACCACCACACATAGGCAAACGATTCCGTTGACCCAAAATGCCCAGGGCCACCAGACCAATTGGGCAAAGATACCCGAGAAGATCGCCCCAAGGACAAATCCGAATGGGGCCACCGCACCGAACATGGCCATGTAGATCATTTTCTTCTTGCTCATTGGGAAATAGTGCCCCAAAAGAGCCACGGCATTTGGCATGGAAAAAGCCGGTCCAAGACCTTGGAAAGCCCTAGCAACATTGAAAAAAACATCCGAATTGGTGAAGCCAGAGAAGCCAGCGATCAATGACCATATTCCAAAGAAAATAAATCCCAAGTTGAATATTAACTTGTAGCCGTGCAAGTCACCTAAACGACCAGCGATCAAAATGAATGTACCCACAGTAAGAGAGTATGACGCTGAGAACCACGATAGTTTACCTGGCAGGTCTTGAACATCAAAGGTGCTTCCAATTTCTTTCACAGGGTTGATGGTCTGGGCTACCCCAGCCTGGGTGAGGATTTGACAGAGACAGACCAAGAAAACGAACAGAAGCTCATGCACAACGGTAATGTCCTCAGGAGAAGGCAGAGCAGGCTGCTCTTCGTAAGTGGTTTCCGACTCCTCCTTCATGCTCAAGTCAAAATGAAGATTTTATCGAGGCCATTCCTGCTTTTTTGTACCTACCACCCATTTATAAGCTGCTCGCGATATTTAGTAAAACATGCGCAAAATGGTATCAGGTGCGGCTCGACTATTATATTAAGGTTTTGCATTTTTAGTAGAACGTGCACAACGAGAAACGGCGTTACTTACTATCTGAGTCAAGCGAGTTTCTGCACCCATTACTGCCGTTGGCCTCAAGACAATGTGTGTTCTAGCTCGCTTCTGAGGGAGCCACAATAATTTTTTAAGCTGCGCTTATCTGCGCATTGCTGAATTTGGGTACCCGCCTCGGCTAGGTCCCGGTGCATTCACTCTGCGCAGAAGATCGAAAATCTTCTTATTATGTGTATTATGGCTCGACGGTGGCGTCAAACGATCTAGATAGTGCCAGATCTGGCAAGGTATTGTGCTCCTAGAAATTGAGCGTGTCGGGATACTTGGTCGTTTCCTTCAACCATTTCAAATGAGGGATGTAAACCTCCTGGCATCTCTTCCGGTTTATCTCCCTCTCGTTGTTGATATACTCCAAGTAATTGCCCATGTACTCCTCCCTTTCGTCAAGTGTCGTGTCGTCCTCCTTCTCCTTCTCGAGCCAGATATCTTCACAGAGAGCCTCTGCATGCGCATTGAGTAAACGCAAATCCAAATCGTAACCGATGTTCTCGTACGTTCCGGCGTACATTCGGATGTGTTCTCCCAGCTCCTTGTAGATAAGATCATGGTTGTTATACATCCAATCGGTGTAGTGTTTAGGGTACGAGCAGTGAGCGAAGATAAGAGGCGCAGTCTCTGAATCTGCTTTTGATTCGATTGGGTCGTAGTGGCCCAACATCTTTGACTCAAATTTCTTTGTATCTTCACTATGGTAGCCAACCCACATAAACTTCTTGAGTGTTTGGAACCAGCTTTCTTTCATCACGGTTGCTGCAGCGATGAAGGTCTCCTTATCTCCTTCACCAGCGCCACCTTGTGTAAGCAAAGGATAGTAAAAGTTAGGGCCATACACGTTGTAATATAATGCCAAAAGCAACGTGCGGAGATGAGAGGTCTTGTTAACGAGCATAACACCAGCTTCTGAAGAGGGGTTGGGGAGGGTGTTTTCGAAATCATGGAAGTTGGAATCCTTGAAGGTGTAATCCTTAAGATCCTTCAAATCTTCTCCCTTCTTTTCTGCTTGTGCACGGTCATACTCAGAATATCTCACCTTCTTTTCAGGTACCTCCACACCGGCGATTTCGTAGAATTTGGGGTTGGTAGTACGAGACCAATCATCGGGCCAAATAATGAGGCCGGTCTCCTGGTACAATTTGGAGCGCAAGAGATACTCGACATTCTTAAGCGGATAAAGATCAGAATCCAAATAAAGCACGTTTTCGAATTGCGATGCCAAAAGTGCAAGCATCTTGTACTGATATCCGTTGATGCTGAACTTAAGACTGAGATACTCCACAAGACTCAGGTCGAGCATGTTACATTTAGCATTGAACTTGGGCAAGATTTCGTTACAGAACCTTGGATCATTGTCACTTTCCGTGGGAATGAAAACCTCGATTGGCAAGGTGGACCCTGTGGCTCTGATCTGCTTGACCACAAGGTATGATAACCAGGAATATTTCCCACCACCAATCAACACATAACCAGCAGAGCCCTGATAGTTTTCCCATTTGGGAGATTTGGGAGTGAGCTCGCCGAAAGTTGAGATTCCAAGGTCATTCAATAAGTGTGGCATATGCTCTTCCACATATTTGTGATGCGATGTCTTGAGTTGCTCGAAGGTATCATCCTTGATGTTCAAGATACTGGAGAGGTACTCCTTTGAAAACAAGAAATCCCTGTCGGTGCTCCTGGCATCATGAACTTTTTCGGTGATATAATTACCCTTCAAGCGGTCGCCAGTAATGGCGAAGTTCTCCAAACCATCAAAAAAGGCTCTGTACGGCACCAGTCCCTTGCTTCTACCCTGGAACAAATCGTAAGGATTGTAAGGCAGATAGGTGAGCTGATGTATAACTATCACGATCACCACAGCAGCCAAGAATACCTTGACAAGCGCCAGCTTTCTGGCAAATAGGAGCTTCATGGTGCTTGATAAAAGTGATTGAGATCAGAAACGCGCACCGCGAGTGTATAGCGCCATGTGGTAGGGGTCCATAGTCTACACTTACATTAGTAAAATAGCGACCATCAAATCTTAAAGCGACCAAATCGTCCACAACCGTATGTGTTTGGTTTGGCCAACCTAAATATGACGCGACGACTTAAATGTGCGCAAGCCTCGTGGGCTTACGATGGAAGGGATGCATATTTCCAAGAATTTACCACTGGAGATTGGCATCCGCATTAGGTGGAAGAATGGCTTGTTATGTCACCAAATCTTGACTAGTCCATCAAATCCGGTTGCCTTGTCTCAGGTTTTAATAATAGCTCGGACTTCAATTCCGTCTGGTCAGCCTAGGTTGCACCTAGTGCAGCGTCGCACTCGGTCCCACCCTAAACCCTGAGTGCCCCGCCCCCTCTTCAGAACAGTTGCTTTTGAGATCTTGCTTTTTTCCACACTTGAATTGTTTTAATATTTTTGTTGACCACACCTTTCTTTAAATTCCCTAATACGAGTAGGCGGGCAGGCTCGGACTTCACGGTTGCCTTGTCTTCTCGGTTATGACCTTCTGGTGCGGTTCGACAATGGGTGCAAATGGGCGGGACCATTGTATCGAAGCCGCCCAATTCTGGGGTAATTTTCTCGGGTGTACCCCAGATTTCCAGATGGGGCCTAGGAAAAATGCTACCACACCCCTGACCGGTCATCTCATTTAAAGTTGGGCGGGAGGAGACCGTCGCTTTTTTCTTTGTACTCAGCGCATGGTGGAGAAATGCCCCTCCCAGCCCCTCCATTAGGACTCCAGATCGCCCCAAATAACCTGCTCAAAAGCCATAGTGCCACTCGGGGTGACCTGGGGGCTTTCTAGTTTGGGGCCATTTTCGGGATTCTGGAGATCTTCTCCACCGGTTCCTGCCTATACCGGCGATTTTCCGGGGTTTTTCACTCACTGACACATTCTCTCTGACGCCGACTATAAAGAGCCTAGGTATTGGCATTTCAGTATCCTGGTATTATTTGTTTAACCATGTCACTCTCTCTCGCTGCTGCTGACCTTGAGATTATCAGGAAGAAGAACTTTTTGTTTCACCTCTTCGGTGAAGGCATCACCCATTCCAAGGCCCCATTGATGCATAACTATTTGTTCCAGAAATTGGGATGTGATGGTTATGTCTACGAGTGCCTTGACTCTTATGGTTTGGAGGCTTTTGTTGAGCTCATTAATGCCAACAAGGACGTGACTTCATGGAGCGACCTCAAGTACATTGGATCTGCCGTCACCATGCCTTACAAGGTCGCTATTATTCCACACTTAGACGAAATCGATTTCAACGCCCAGTCTGTCGGTGCTGTCAACACAATTTACGTCAGATTCAAGGACGGAAAGGCTATCAACATTGGTACCAACACCGATACGGTCGGCATAAGAGACGCTTTCCAATACAACGTGCCCGAAGCTACTGCCAAGGGCCAAGGTAAACCAGGCCTTGTGTACGGCGGAGGCGGTGCTTGTCGTTCTGCTGTGTATGCCTTGAAGGAGTACTTGGGCTGTTCCAAGATCTACTTGGTTAACAGATTCGCTCTGGAGGTTCACAAGATCCAAGAGGAAATGGCTGCCAATGGCTTCAAAGGTGAAATTATCCATATCGCCACACCGGAACAGGCTCGTGAAGTGGAGTCTCCACAGTTGATTGTTTTGGCTGTCCCAGATTTCGCCCCCGTCTCAGACGAGGAAAAGTTGGCCAGAAACACATTGGAAGTGTTCATCCAACAAGAAGACAAGGGTGCTGTGCTTGAAATGTGTTACCACCCCACACAGATTACTCGTCTTTATAATGCTTTCCATGAAGCTGGCTGGGATGTTGTTGGAGGCATCGAGGCAATGATCTACCAAGGATTCGCCCAGCAAGTTTTGTGGACCGGATACTCCTTAGAAGAGATGCCCACCAAGGATGTGGTCGACTATGTCAGAGAGACAATCGAGGAACCATGTCTTAGACATGACCTTGTCACCATTAAATTGTAAGGGGCCCTGCTGTCCAAGAACAAGGGTCCTTTATAGGTGCCACATGCCAACAGCACATAATGATCGTTCAAAGCAGATCCAGACCTATATGCTGGTGAAGCTAAAAAAATAAACTCATGACTCTGATTTGTAAACAGTCTGTAAGAAGTAAAGAAGTCGTTAATACCGCAATTACTCGGACTTTGTGTGGCATTCACTCCACACGCACTTCTAGGACCCTCCTACATAAACGAGGAGCAACTGCTAGTTATTCAGACACATATCTTTCTGACAAATTCGAAATCTGAACCACTTCTTTTGTTCTCGAATTGACTGTTGTGTTCTTGTTACAAATAACCTGCCGTCGCTTGTCTTCCTTGGCAGAATAATGATAACCGCACTCAAGCACGCTAAAAACCATTGCCAAAGATCCATGTCCACCTTCGCCAAGTTGCCCAAGAGGCTGTCCATACCAAAGACCCTCCAGCCAGATAACGCTATAACGAGTGAAGACGTTGCTGCAGCTAACGAGAAAAATGTCATAAGACACCCCAGGATCCTTCACGATGGAGCTTTCTCATGGTCCATTCCTGAAGAACGTAAGGAATACAAATACATCACAACCAGCAAACAAGCTCTCCATGACTTGGGCTTGAACGAGAACGAGGATCAAGATCCAGAGTTTCAGAAAATCGTCAGTGGCCAATTCTACCATGATTTGTCATTCCGTGATACAGACTTTCCATTCCCGTATGCTCAAGCGTACGCTGGGTGGCAATTCGGCCAATTTGCTGGTCAGCTCGGTGATGGAAGAGTTCACAACTTGTTTGAAGTTCCTAAATCCAAAGACAACACGCTGCCTTCTACGAAGTTCAACAGAAAAGAGTACGAGGTCCAGTTAAAGGGATCTGGCAAAACCCCATACTCACGTTTTGCGGATGGAAAGGCAGTTATTCGTTCTTCAATTAGGGAGTACATTATCTCCGAGCACTTGAATCAGATTGGAATTCCCACCACCAGAGCGTTGTCGCTTACCTATCTTCCACAGACCTTAGCTCAAAGATATTCTGCTGAAAGATGTGCTATTGTCTCCAGATTTGCCGAATCTTGGATCAGGCTTGGAACCTTTGACTTGTACAGATGGAGATTTGATATGGATGGTCTTCGTCGTTTGAGTGACTACGTTATTGATGAGCTCTTCATTGTCGAGGAAGATGGTAAGAAGGTCGAGTTCCCCTTCTTTGAACAAACAATTGCAGCTAATACCGGGTTTCAAAATGACATTCAGAAGAGCCTTCGTGGTTTGACCAAGTACGATAAGATGTACTTTGAGATCATTGTTCGCAATGCTATGACTGCCTCCATGTGGCAATGTTACGGCTTCCTCAATGGAGTATTGAACACTGACAATACTTCCGTTCTTGGGCTTTCGATGGATTTTGGTCCATTCAGTATTATGGACAAATACAATCCTGAGTACACGCCTAACTCCGAGGACCATCAAGGAAGATACAACTACGCCAATACGCCGACGGCTATCTGGTGGAACTTGACGAGGTTGGGTGAGAACTTGGCACAGCTTATTGGTGCTGGCACTGATCTCATTGACAACCCACAGTTCAAGACGAACAACTTCCAAAACGGCTGGGAGGATAAAATTGTTAAAAGGGCATCCAAGTTGATCGAAATTGGCGGAGAAATGTACATGTATGCCTTCACCAAAAAGTATGTGGAAACTTTCTTTGACAGACTCGGTTTGCTGCACAAGCTTATAGACGTGATGGATCCTGAGGCACAGAATGCCGATTTGCTCGCCCCTATGCTTGAAATGCTCAAAAAGACCCAATGTGATTTTAACGGGTTCTTCGTGAAGTTGCAGGAGGCCAGAGTTGAGTCTGCAGACTTTGATCTTGACAAGTTTGCAGCTTCGGTGTTGTTGCAGGAAGTGAGCCAGCACGAGCACTACCCCAGAGACGAATTGACACAGCAAGTGAAGGAGTGGGTGCAAAAGTATCAGAATTACGTGTCTAGGACGATGGAGCACGATGGATTTGACAGGTACGAAAAGAGCTCGCAGCACAACCCACTCTTCCTTCCAAGAAACTGGATTCTTGCTGAGGTGATTGAGCAGGCAGAGGAGACCAAGTGTAACGATGTTACATTGTTGAAGAAGCTCGAAAAGATGGCCTTTAATCCGCTCGATCCCAGCAAGTGGGGCGACGAGCTCAAGGAGTACGAAGACAAATGGCGTTTACAGAGCGACGCTGGAGAGGCCCGTTCCATGCTACAATGCAGCTGTGCTAGTTAGCGCTGATCGTTATGGCATTCAATATAAACTAATACAGTGTTGACCCTTAAGATCTGTTAATAGACTTGACAGCGTCGTCGTAACCCTTCTGGAAAGCATCCTTGGCCTTGTCCTGAACCTTAGGGTCCAACTTGGAGATCTTGGAGTCCAAGGACGAGTCACCGGTGGAGAAGCCAGAGCCAGTACCAGAGGAGCCAGTAGCACCAGAAGAGCCGTAGGCACCCTGAGAACCAGAGGCACCGTGAGAGCCAGAGGCACCGTGAGAGCCAGAAGCACCGTGGGAGCCAGAGGCACCAGTGGAGGCACCGTGAGAGGAGGAGCCGTGGGAACCAGCAGCGTAGCCGCCAGCAGCACCAGCAGCACCACCGGCACCAGCACCGCCAATGGAGCCACCCAAGCCAGAGCCAGTAGCATTGGCGTCAGTAGCACCGTGGCCACGAGAACCAGTGGCACCGTACTTGTCGGCACCACCCTCTGAGTCGTATCTAGAAGTGGTGGCAGAGCCCTCGGAAACACCACCTGGAGCACCAGAGGTCTTGGCGCCAGAAGCAGTGTCGTAACCGTGGGAGGAGTGGCCAGAGCCGTAGGCGTCGGAACCGTGGGTTCTTGGACCAGAGCCGGACTCGTAGGCAGAGTTGCCGTGAGAGCCAGAACCAGAGCCAGAGCCCAGGTGAGAAGCACCGTATCCAGCAGCACCGGCACCAGCAGCGGCGGCACCAGCACCACCAGTGGCAATACCGGCCTTGTCGCCAGAAGAGTAGGCGTTGGAGGCATCCTTACCAGAAGAAAGAGCGTCCTTGCCGTACTGGCCTTGGCTGGTGGAACCCAGGCCAGTTTGACCAGAGGAGCCGTAAGCAGACAGGCTGCCAGTTGGCTCGTGGGACTCGTAGCCTCTGCCAGAGGTGGAGCCGGAACCGGTCTCGTAAGAACCACCCTGGGCGTTAGAGGAACCGTAACCAGACTGGTTGCCAGACTGGCCGTAACCGGAGGAGGACTGGCCACCAGACTGACCGTAGCCAGAGGAGGATTGAGCACCAGTGCCAGAGCCAGAGGCCCCGTAAGCGGCACCACCTGCGCCAGCAGCTCCAGCACCAGCAGCGCCAGCACCGGCAGCGCCAGCACCAGTGCCAGAACCAGAACCAGTAGCACCGTGGGAGCCAGTAGCACCAGAAGAACCAGAGGCACCCTGACCAGAGAACTTGCTGCCGATACCGCCCTCAGTACCGGACAAGTTCTCTCTGCCGACGTACTGGCCACCGGCCTTGTCAGCGTCGTTGGCGTACTTGGCAGCCAGGTCCTTGTCAAGGTTTCTCACCTCACCAGAGATGTTGTCCTTGCCAATGGCCTTACCACCAGCCTGGTCGGCTTTCTGGATGTTCTCAACATCCTTGTTTCCGCTGATCTTAGAAGAGATCTTGTCAGTCAAACCCATTTTCAATTAAATAGTTAGCCTTTTTAACTGAGCGTGCCCTGGGGCTACTTATACTTGAGCCACCGCAAGGGTTTTTTTTGCACCCAAAGTTGCGGCCTGCCCCTTGCTGCGAGAATGCACAATGCCACTGTCTCGAAGCATTGCTCTCATGACCGACAGTGCCATTCTTTTTCTTTTCATTTGACACACTTGTCGATTGATCCGCAGATCGGCATTGTCAGATGACGCTTCGTTGAATCTGCCCAATTGTCGAATTTTGTTGTCTAGTCTATTCTCCAGCAAGGAACCGATTCGACACTCGTGTTGAAAGCAGCCTTGCGTCATCACACTTGTGCCAGGTTTGCAGCCGAGCAACGCTGTGGTTGACGGCTTTCATTCGCTGTGGCCTGGGCAATCTTGTTGCTTGTGCGGCGAGACCCACAGTCACCACCCCCCATCCAACTCTGCACAGCATCAGCCTTATTTTGCTACTAGGCCACCCTACAGCAACATGAGGTTCGATGGACGGCCACGTTGCTTCACTTGCGCAAGCGGATCTGGCCCGCAGCCACACTCCCCATGCTGCGTCTACGCAGCGGGTTTTCTTTTCTCTGGTGTCAAACTTTGCCATATATACCGACACCACAATTATCATTACCTCTGCCGCAGCTGCCTGCTGCCGTGTGTTTCCCTATTCGTACATGTGCTCTTAGTCTAGGAGCTTGACGTAGTTCGACGGACAGATACCCACCTGGCCGTTCGATCTTCTGGCCTGCCACCACTTGCCGTCAATGTCATCAACCTCCAAAATTTCGTCCTTTACGAACGAAATCTCGTTGATGTCCTCAGGATTGGCGTCGTAGCTGTATAATGCTTGCGCCTTGTAGCGGAACACCCCAGCAGGCATACCGAAGGCATTGGCGTCCAGCTGGTTGTAGACAGTGTTCCTCGTGGAGTTTCTCACTGACGCGGGTGCATTCGTACCGTGAACGTTCAGGTTGGAGAAGTTTTCAAGACCGTTCAACTGCAGCGACAGCATGTATGCTGATTTCGTGTTAGTGTTCTGCGAGTGCCTGTCGTCAGTGTTTTGGTAGTTGTTTGATGCGCTGCGAGGAACAGCGAACTCCTCCTCCTTGTACTCGCCAGCGGGGAGCGAGCCGTGGAAGCCGTTGTTTCTTACAGAGAAGGAGTCAATGAACTGGTTGGTTGGCGATTCGGGGTGACCACCAAAGTACAAGATCCACAAGATGTTGAGCATTGACAACAAGATGCATCCGGCCGCACAACACAAGTTACCGGACGAGTTGGAGTTGTAGATCAAGTTGTTGGTCGAGTTGGTGGTGTACAAGAACGCCACAGATAAAAATCCCACTAGGGTGAACTTATATAACTCGATGGTGTTGTAAACATAAAGCACGAATATCATAATCACCAACACGATCTGATATACGAGGCCCCACCAGGTGAATCTGGGGAACGAGCTTTGCGTGGAAGCGGCAGCGCCTGCTATGGCGACGATCCATGCTATGACACCAAAACTGACGGTGGCAATAGCAAAGGGATCACCGATGAAGTTCGAGATCTTGAAGCCCATTGGATCAGGGGATGACGATACAAAGGGGCACGGGGATGTTCAAGATGTTAAAGGGTATCAAAACGATGGGCGTGAGTCAGGTTCTCTCGATTTGTGTATTTCAAGAAATCACCGGAAGGGTTGGGCAAAACAAGGGTTCCAGGACCTCCGTGAGGAAAAAATGTATCGAAAATTCACAATAGTGTTCCAGTAAATACGGATCATGGCGCGATCCGCCAGTGCAGGAGCCGCTCCCAAGGTCTAGAAGTGCCCGCGGTCGCGGACAAAGCATACCGATGGGGGCTGATTCAGGTGCTATTTCTACCTACATTTGAAAAGACTCCCATTGTTAAAGAATGGGCATTCACATTTGTTTTATTGGTAGTTGATGTAAGGCTCACAAGATGTGGCTTGGTAGAAAGGCAGATCTGCTTAACTAAACAAAAAGTGAAAAAACACGCTTAGGCTTCCGCTATGTTTACCTCGAGAGTCTAAATCGGTTCGGCACTGTCGCAGGCCAGTCAGGACAATGCCTGAGAAAGACACGGTGACGTCTGCACAATAGGCAAAAATTCAGGGTCGGGATGATTTTTGAATGAAAACGGCGCAATGCCTGGGAATGGAAAAGGGTAGTTTCAAAGCGGTAGCAGGGCACGTTTGGTTGCAACTTTGCGCTGCATCGCTTTGTGTGAGCATTCTGTGCGGCCACACTAGGCTAAAGCTAAGCTTCGTTTGGTGGCTAAATTTACTCAATGTGGCAGGTGGGCACAGATCGTATGTAGAGAACCTGGCGGGCCTTCGAGCATAGAAGGCGGTGTCCCCCTCAGTGGGAGTTTACACGAGGAATCGGCTAATTGAGGGAGCGAAATGTGCGGAATTAGTGTCGACATGGCGAACGAGATCATCTGCCATTTTCAATATTTCGAAGAAGCGGCAGTAAAGTGCATTCAAGGTTGGGTCTTGGCTTGTTCCGCACAGAAGTGCCGAGAATCCAGTTTGCAGCCAATTCTACGCACCGATACCAAAATTCAAGCTACAACACAACATGTCCGCCATAAAGTAGAAGGAAAAGTGTAGAGTGAACGATCGATGTTCGGCGGGAATATATTTAGACGAGAGTAATGGCCCTGTGAAAAGAACTCCACATGACGCAAAATAAAAGCATGAACGCAACAGAAGCTTAGATCCATAAGAGGCAACCACTCGGGTTGGAAATGAGTTGGGTCAGTTGAGGCGACCCTCATTTCCGACGAATTAGAGTTCGATCTAATCAGCATACTGTGGTCCATCCCGCTCACCCGCGTTCACCCTAACCTCTTTGTGCTATTTTGTGCGCGAGCATGACCTCCAGGGAATCCTTCCTCCCTACTCCCGATAAATGCTCTCTTCTATCTGATCCCGTAACCAGCCGTAGCAATGACCGGACTTCTACCTCCAGCAAGAATCCATGACGGACCCTTCTATTTTTGAGTTTTACTTATTTTTGAGCTTCACTTTTGTAATTTCGATCTCTCTATTCGACCGAATGGTGAAAGCTACCTCCAGGTTTCACAACTAGCCTCCAATAGCACTGGCAGAGAACAAAACATTGAAGTTTCTCTTTCTATTATAAGCCTACTCACTCGTTAACACGCTGACCAATAGACGCAAGCTCGTTCTTGTGCATAATATGCTCTCCCGTATTTGTCCATTCTCACTACTGGGTCAATTATCCCACCACTGTTGAACTCTCTTTTTTTAAAAAATATGAGCACGTTTATAGGACACATCCGGGTCCGTTTTTGGAAGTCTCCGAAATTCCTCCCTTTATACCCCGGATTCAGCGCTTCGGCCGCTTTCACGGGAGGTCAGCCGCACTAGTACCGTTGCAATGCAGGTCTCTCCGTGAATCTCCCTTGGCTGCAAATTAGCTCACCCCAGGGGTATATAATAAGCTTTTCTTCACCTCTCAATTCCTCATCATGCTTTCAATTTATAAACCAACAGTTACAAGACTCGCTCTTTCTGGTATGGGTACCGTGGCCCTCCGCCCTGCCAGATCCTTGAAAATTAGAACGGAGCTTCTCGATAATGACGACCAACGCAAACACGACGACCAGAAGTTCATCTCCCATCCTATGTTTCCTCATCCAGAATGGACTAAAGAAGAGGTTGAGACTGTGAAGCCTGTCCATCGTGTGCCTCAAAATACAATGGACCGTGTTGCTCACAGAACTATCAACCTGGTGCGCTCGATCTTCGATTTTGCAACCGGCTACAAGCATCCAAAGACCCCCGAAGAAATAACTAATCGCTTCGAGGGTACGAGATGGGAGATGAATGAAAACAAATGGCTTACAAGAATTATATTCTTAGAATCGGTTGCAGGCGTCCCAGGTATGACAGCTGCTTTTATTCGTCACCTCCACTCATTGCGGTTACTCAAGAGAGACAAAGCTTGGATTGAAACCTTGCTTGATGAAGCTTACAACGAGAGAATGCACCTTCTCACATTCATCAAGATTGGTAAACCTTCGTGGTTCACTCGTTTCTTTATCTACATGGGTCAAGGCGTTTTCTGCAACATGTTCTTCTTCATGTACTTGCTTTATCCTCGCTATTGCCATCGTTTTGTGGGCTATTTAGAAGAAGAGGCTGTCAGTACCTACACCCATCTCATCAATGATTTGAAGGCTGGAAAGTTGCCTAAACTTGATGGTGTTCAAGTTCCCGAGGTGGCCCAACAATACTGGACAGAACTCAACAACGAGTCAACCTTCTTGGACTTGGTGGAAAGAGTCAGAGCTGACGAGTCTAAACATAGAGAGGTTAACCACACCCTCGCTAGCATTGACCAGAAGACTGACAGAAACCCTTACGTCGTGAAGATCGAAGGTGTAGATCAACCACAGCCAGAGAAAGGGTTGAACTCCAAACATCCTGAAGGCTGGGAGAAGAAGGATTTGATCCTTTGATTATTTAAATATACTTGTAAATATAATGACTCGATATGATGGACAAATGATAGATATGACATAATTAATGGGTGCTTCCAAGGAAGATTGTGACGAAAAGACACACCACCATGACAATGACACCCCATACACTCAAGGCGAACCCGCCGTACTTGCAGAACTTTTCTAATCTGGTCAAAGTTGTGGCCCCATTGAGTGGTTTAATCAACATATAACCAAACAACCCTGGCAAGATGAACGAAATGGATGTGGAGCCAGTGGAACCAACGAACGCGAGGACACGAGCCAAAGACTTGACAGAGATGGCCACGAGATATGCTAGCACAACAATGCCTGTTGTGATAATGTAGAATTGTTTAGTTGTGAGCTTGACAATGATAGGGTCGTGACCGTCGGTGTCTTGGGCACCTTCCATAGGAGTAGTGGACACGAAGGTTTCGTCCACCATCGATTCACCGTCTGACTGTAGAGGTGCATAGCCGTCATTGGTGACT